CTCGAATGAACAGTTTCCATATTTTGAGAGGGCAGTAGGATGGAGGAGAAACCGAAAACAAGCTCAGAGAGAGAGAGAGAGAGAGAGAGAGAGAGAGAGAGAGCTGTCGTACGCGAGACGTGTGTGATGCATGCAGTTAACTATTGGAAATAAAATTAGATGATAGTTCTGAATTCAAATACACTGCAGAAATCGAAGACTATTTTGACTGATAGTCTTCAGGATTGAGGACAGAGGGCAGGGTGCCCGTGTAAGCCCCATCACCACTGGGTTGAAGGTTCGATCACAAGTGTTCGTTCAGGTGCTCATCCAGACGCCGTTTGAAAGCAGCGTCTGTCTTCTCTTCCACCACAATCGCTGGAAGGGAATTCCAGAGTGTTGTTGACCTACGTGAGAATCGGTAGACTAACGGAAGACCAAGTGACTGAAGTTTCCGCGTAATGTGAGAGAGTGCCCCCGCGTGCGGTCCTCTGTCCGTAAAGGGAAGTACTGTTGCAGCTCCGGGCCCATATAACCTCTCAGGATCTTCCTCAGGCAGATGAGATCTCCCCTGAGGCGTCGATACGCAATTGGGAACAGACCAGTAGCCTGTAGACGACCTTCATAGCTGGTCCCGCGTAGTCCAACAACGAGTCTAGTGGCAGCACGTTGTACACGTTCCAACTTAGCCAGTTCACCGGCCGTGCAGGGGTATGTCGCCGCACCACCATCATTCAAATTTTATCCTAATGCACACTTCACAGCCCTTGTAGTTAACCTTACACTCAAGAAGTGCAAGACTGGAGCTTTGCTCTTAGTAAAGCTCATCAGAAGTGCATTATCTAACCATTAGTTCTAGGTTTGAACATCGGGTCCCTCACACGGAAAGGATTTGTCGAATCAGCCCACACCCGGGTTAATTAGCATTGCCGGTTCAAAATCGACCGGATCTCATCTTCACTGGTAGCCAATTAAATCATTTGGATCAGTATTAATGAAGGAAGACCACATTCTCTCTGCTAACTCAAAATCAAAGCTTTTCAAAAAATCAGGTCTTCCATGCAGGTACTGGATAGACTAAGTTAAGGTTAGCCCTCATTGAGGTCACAGTTTTCGTGAGCAGCAATCATCTGGGCTTCAAATCCCGGGCGAAACGGTAAATATGCAGTGTTGCTGACCTCGAGTTTACATTGTTTCTCCAGTGTACGGGTGTTTTTGCTTGTCCAATGACTATCCGTCTTCGACAACCTTTGTCTGCGCAACATCGCCCGCGTATGGTAGGAGCATCGCGTGAATAACGGTGAGGTCAGACGACGTGCGCTAGGATCAGATAGTCTTGCGTTGAGCCAGATAATTTCACAGTATCGTCTTAGGTGGCTAGGGCACGTCCTACAAATGCCTGATCAACGTCAGCCACACCGTGCACTATTCGCAGATATCGGACCAAGCTGGAAGAAACAATGAGGTGGGCAGGCTATGACGTGGCTCAGAAGATTGAAGAGATTGTGTTCGGATCTGGCTTCCGTTGGGGCTTCTCGGCTCCCTGACAGGGGCCCCAGAGATTCAGATTGCCTTTGGCTGGAGACAACGCGGGATGTAACAGTGGTGACCTGGTGGTAACGTCAACAAATTATCACTCCGGGGATGTGTTCGAATCCCACCACCACCGACTGACTTTCCCCATTGCGTGTTGACTGGAAGCCCTTTGATTGGCCGCTCCCCCTTCCTGAAAACTGTATCTTTTCATATTCAATAAATAGAAGTAAAATGATGTGGCAAGCGCGTTTCGACCGATTTACAAGGTTCGGTGTGGGCAATCGAGAGTAGTGAAGTATCGAATCTTATCCACGGCTAAAGCTATAAGTATTCGTATTCANTCGTATTCACCCCACCCCCCACCCTTGTGCGCCCAGAAGAAATTTGTGCAAGCACTTAATCTTCTCTGGCCCACTTCAGCCACTCCAACACGTGTGCAATCAAGTGAACTGTTGATACTGTAATCAATTTCACACAGGCACACATGCACGCATGATTGGAGCCGAAACCAAACCATTAGGACTCGAATTTGTCATTCCTTGTTTATTCTTATTGTTAGTCATATTCAACTTTATATAATGGCATGATTACGAATAACTGAAAACGAGCTTATTCGCCACGTTGTTGTTCTAAAGGTGTTCTGTGGGGCTAATGAAACGTTTGAAAAAAAAGAATCGAAGTCAGAGGCGTGAATGCATCCTTTCCTGTGTGAGATCCCAAAAATACACAAAAAAACGAATAAAACTAAAATATTTGTTATTCCCACAAGTTGAATGTTTTTGTTTTCCCCGCTCTGTTCTTATATTTTTCGTTCACCACGAACGTCATATCAGATGGTGTTATTAGACACCCGGGCAGTCCAACAGACAAAAACATTAATAATAAAACCGAATTCTAATCACGACGGTATGCAAAGCATTTTTAGGGGGCCGTAACCCAACACGAGAAATCAAAACACACCAGAGAGCACGCTAACCGGAACCCGGTCCACTATTTAATGGATAATTGTGAGAATACATCGATTGATTAGACGATGGCCTAAAACTAGGTCAAACTGGTGCACGGACCAAACAAATTGGAAGGGTATTAGTCAGTGTCTGTCATGAACGTCTGTGTCACCTGATTGGACTAGCAATGGGAACTGAGAGACGAATGCGTAAGTAGCAATTAATAATAACGACAACAGGAAAGTTACTTTTATTCTTATATGAAACATGAAACGTCGTGGATAGACCATTCCTGTCCACATTGTTCGTATTCAGAACGTCAGCATACCGTGTACTATTCATCCCTCCCCGTTCTAATCCCACTGTTCTCTTGTTATTTTAAAACTTGTCTAGCGATCCGGTGTTCATGTTTGACCTTGGCAGTCCAGTGGGTGACGTGGCCTGGGCCCCGTACTCTTCCACCGTGTTCGCCGCGGTCACCGCCGACGGACGTGTTCACGTGTACGATTTGTCAATCAACAAATACGAACCGTTATGCAACCAAATGGTACTGTCCAAAAAGAAAGCCAAGCTGACACATTTAGCATTCAATCCGAAATATAGCATTTTGATTGTGGGCGATGATCGGTGAGTACGCTGTTGCGACAATTTTCAGCCGTCTACATCTATTTCATTTACGATGATCAGAAAGTACCATCAGACAACACTTAACCTGGATGGACCACTTGTTGATTGGTCCTAAGAGAGCTGTATCAATTATTTGGCCGTCAAATAAGAGCGTGAGTTGATATAAAAAGACCACAGGACAGACTAGAGCCATTGATTTCGATGGTTTAAAATATCCCTCTCGAATTGGCGGTTTTAGTGGATGGAAGTGCATTGCAGTTCCCTAATGTCATAGTTTTGAAGCTCCAGATTGCCAATCCGATTCGCGGTAGTTGGAACCTCTGATATGCCTTGGTTATGAATCTGCGGTTATTCAATTCCGTCTCATACTGTTCACCGTCCTCGACCACAAATCGAATTGAATCCTTGATCGATGTGGCAAGATAAATACTTAGGAGTGTGATGTGGAATTCCCTCTACTCACCAAATACACTGAAGGATGATTAAAGTGCATTCCGTTAAAATCTGGATACAAAACGAAGAAGAATTCAACCCGTATGATTTCATACTTATTTATTCTTACTTATTACTTACTTTTTCTTATTTATTACTCACAAATTTGACAATCATTACATGCTGAGAGCAATTTACCTCAGTTCGGAAGGATAGATTAAAATAACATTGATTCTCAACAGTTAGTCACACTCACTGAAACTGTCACTATGTCACTATGATAATTGGAATAGTACTGAATGTAGGAATACGGGAATCCGTGCTGCAATGATTAGAACTGGATTGGCTCCAACCCGAACTACGGACACCAATGAAATACACGAAGAATTGATAGCAGCAAATGTTTATGTTTATTGATAGAATAAGAGCATGTTTTATATAAGGTAAGCTATGATTGGTTGAAGGACACATCATGCGTACCAACTCGGTGTACCATTGGCCGATCTTCCTGAACGGTGATCGGATGATATGAAGCTTTACCTGGTCGTGCCTGGAATGCGTATCACCACAGCCACGTACCACACTAGAGGAAGACACTGGTTTTCCATTTCACTTGGAAACTGTATGCAGATGAAACGGAAGCTATTGAAGATGAACTTCCACTATGCTTACCTATGTTGTCAATTACGCCTATGGTGCAGTTTGTGTAGGTCACACCACGAAGTAAATGTCGTAGAGCATCGAGGAACATCCCACTTTGATTACCTAACATGGAGCTGACACCGTTTCCAGCGCTTCGCTGACCTACCTAATGGATAGTGGTCACAGAATTGATCCCGAGTGTGTTCCAGCTATCGCACCGAGTCGCCCCAGATCACTGAATGTGGTACCTCAATCCACTCCACCCACAACAGAGGGAATTCAGGGCACCATGGACTAAAGTGCAAACCAGAGTAGATGTTAAACCTCTCAGTGTGAGAGTATGTGTCGAACTGTCATCTCATCATCATTTGCAACTGGTCCCACTTTCGGTTATCTACCCCTCTCCATCTAAATCTCTGGCATGTGACCTTAACCTAAAGCAAGCAACTGGCAACAAACGCACAATTCCCGGAAATATGAACCAAAAACTAATTATGCGTGTTCTAGTTTTAGCCCATATTTCCATGTATGGAACAGGAAACATTCAAAATAACAGGGTTCGTCAATCCTCAAGAAAAGAATAATAACTCAAAATCTTGTTCAGAAGTCACTTGGCAGACGCGATTGTGAAACAACCTCGAATATTTTCCACAATGCAAACTTGTTATTAAGCTATTCACCCCAGGAATATATGTAAACCCTCAGATTGAGCTAGAACCAACTTTGCTGAAGCGAATCATTGGCGGATTGAACCTATGCTGTTCCCACTTTTGTTAACAGCCTACATTCGGCCGCATATAGAGTATGCCGTTTAGGTGTAGAACGTAACGCGATCGTCAGCTTTTTAACCGTCCATAGAGAATGGCCTACTAGGTGGTCAAAGGACTGAATTTCAAGACTTATATGGAAACATTGGAATCATTGGGGTTTTACTCCACACAGTATGGCCGAATTCGAGGAGGCTTGATTCTGTTGCATCAACTGATGCAGAATCCAGATCACCCATGTCGTTCACTGTTCACATTGTCGCCCAACATTCACCTCAAGAGGCACTTAGGCAAATAAGTGCTCCAAAATTGTCGACTACAGTTCCGACGTCATTCATTTGCCCTCAGAGTTTGTAGTAGTTGGAATTCTGTGGCTACATGATGACGCCTACCCTGGAGCGGCTCGTTACAGTTTCTGGACATCTGCGATCAATCACGTTTGAAAGGTGACGTCAACGGCATGCGTACGGCTTCTGACCACACGCCATAGGCAACCAACCAATCCGAGACAGTGCAGACAGAAGCATAATTATACAAGCAGTATTGCAATCCGATTGGTGGAAGTTTAGGTACCAATAATCCTCTTTTGTACATATTATTTAATCGCCCTCATTTCTTAAATAAACGAACTACGAACTACCATTCCTGCGGCCTTTTCCTCGCGTCTCGTTCACGTGGGATATCGCGAGCTCGTACCATTGCAGTCCAGTGCTTCCGTAATCCAG